TTTTGTTGTTATTGTTGTTGTAGTTGTTGTAGTTGTTGTAGTTGTTGTCTTAAATGAAATCCACGCAAAATTAATGCGTGTGGCCAACGCCATCAGCAGCGCCCCCCAGCTTATCACTGTCAGGCATCTTAACTGGAGCTCCAAACTCGTGAGTTCATCCAAAAGTGAACCAAAATGAAAAAAAAATATATAAACATAAACTGGAACTGGAACTGAAATTGTATCCGTAAACTGGAACTGGACCTTGCGCCGAACTTAAAATGCCGCCTAATGACAGAGACGATGTTTTAGTTAATTTATTTGCCAAATATCTATATAAATTTTATTAGTTTAGTGTTTTCGTAGTTAAAATTTATGCGACTGTCGCCCACTGCCGCCCGCCTTTGTATCTCTTTGTGGTCATTTTGTTCATGTTGGATTTGAATAGATTTTTAATAAGTGATAAACATTTGGAAACGACAATTTTAAAGTCGATTAATTAATTAAATGCCAATTGAAATCGCCAACGAGAATGACAACAATCAGCTATAAAATACAAAATTGATTGATTTTCGGGCTGTTTTATTTTATTTTTATTTTGTGCAAACCTAATGAGAACATTTTGTAAATTGGATTCTATATTGGAAATTATTTACGGCCTGTTGTCGCCAATGTGTTTAATGTGTCTCTGCTATCAAAGTTACAATCAAAGCCCGAACTAACGAGAAAATATAAACTCCGTTTTAAGTTACGAAATTAAAAACAGCAAAAGTGCATAAATTATGACAGACAAATCAATCTAGAAACAAACCTTAGCGAAATATATAAATCTAACAAGAAAATAAGCTTTGTATTCGGAAACATCAAAACTAAGAATTTCTTTTTTTTTATAGCCTAGTTTTTTGTTTGTGCAAAAATAAGTCAGCTCCTAATTAATTTAAAGTCGTCGTTTTATACAAATACCATATAAAATAATTCTTATAAAATTAAATATTCAAAAATGCCTGAATTTTTAACAAGCAGCATCTGTTTGCATGAATTATAGAATCGTTTAAATATTGATTGATTAAAAATGTTGGGAGATCAAAGTCCAAATTTTAGAAAATATTTGAATAATTGGGCAGTTTGCGTGCAATAGCAAATAGCCTAATATCAGAGGAAAGAGCTAAGTGCGTTACGTATTACGTAATGCGTATGTGTAATACGTCGACTAACACGTCATATGCATTGCATGATTAGGGAACATTATGAATTTCTATCTCACGCCCCGTTAATCCACCCGTGAAACGATTTAAGTTCAATACTTGAACTCTTTTTAATTGATCTTGATTAATCGCACACCAGGCTCCATAACAACTCCATGCCACACACACAGACACGCAGGCAACCATTAATTACAGTTTAATTGCCAAAAAAAAAACATGTGAAAAATAAACCAATAGTTAAAGAATGAGAGAGAGAGAGGGAGAGAGAAAATAACGTTAATAGTTTTGTCTTATCAGCATAAACTTTTTCTCCTAATTTCATTAGTTTAATGGCAAACGAAAACTGAGGGCAAGCCCCTAGAAAAACTAAAAACAAATATATAAAAACCAACAAAACCAAACAAACGAGCTACCAAGCTACGCAAAACGTGCAAGCGGAAGAAACAAAAAATTGTTAACAATTGTGAGAATAAATTGCTAAATAATTAAGTGGATCAACGGCCTGGCCTGGGCACAGACCCAGACCGAGGCACAGGCCCAGGCCCAGACTCCAGCTCCAATCCAGCTCCGGCTCCCGTTTCGACTCGGACTCCGACTTCAAGAGACAGACTCAAATTGCATATGATTAATTAAAGGAAATAAAAAGCTGACGACGCGAATGAGTAGCAGAAAAATAAGAAACGGGCCAAATGAACAAACGAACAACGAAATCTTTTTTTCTTTAATTAATATTGAAGTGAAGTGAATTTACAGTAGCGGCATTCAGAAGACCAAAGAACCCAAAAAACAAAGACAGGAGGCGTTTTTCAACTCATTAACGTTCAAACGAATTCATTTACATATCGCATAGCTCTCTAGTCTCGGCTAGGCACCGGGCCCTCTCAGCATTACCTGGCCCCAAATTAATATTCCATGGCCAAACATATTTAGTTTTTTCTTGCCGTAATTCGGAAAATTTGAAACGCTTAAGAAACGAGCTGAGAAATGGTCTCACACACAATTTGAATGCACACTGTCCAACTTTTTTTCTCTATTTTTTTTTTTTGTCTAAATGATTTTTATTAACGTTTTGCGTCAGGTACTCGGTGGTGGGGGACAGGGCAGGGTAGCCGAACACAACATACAACTCACACGCATGCCCACATTTCCATTTGCTGTGTCACTGAGTGAGAGACAGAGACGCCGGCGCATAGTTTGCGCCCCGATCCGATCCGTTCCGTTCCGATCCGATCCGACCCGATCCGAAGCCAAGTTAAAAACAACCTCACCGAACCGGGCGTCAACTGCATGCCATGCGTAAATGCCAAGCGACCCTCGGCTTTTGGCTGTTGGCTCTCGGCCCGCCTCTTATCTTCTGGTATTCATCTTGAAAATTGTTTCTAGTTGAAGTTTGCCTTTAATTGTTAGGCGCAAACAGCCGACCGACTAAATTAAATTTATACAGCCTGTCCCGTGTTCTTTGGTTCCATGTGGTTGCGTGTCTTGCGTTGTGGTCCAAAAACTAACCCCTGTCCTCATCGTCATCATTGCCATCGTCATCGTCATCATCATCATCATCATGATCATTATTGCCGTCACATGTCGCCCATTGAGCATGTGCAGCCTTTCAGGTTACAATTCGGACAACCGACAGCCGGACAGGCGACCAGCAGGTCAATAAATTCCTCAAAGTGAATTATTATAACATTTTTATTAAAGCCTAGTTCATTTCTATCTCACATAATTAGCATATTTATAGGGGTATCTAGGGGTTGTGCGTGGGTAGGGGGCTGGTTGCAGCAACTGTCCAATTTTTCACTCAACTGTCCACATTAGCGCATATCATGCACACGAGAAAATTTATTAATTTGTTCAATTCCACTGACAAATGATAAAAAGCTCGAAAATTAATGAATATATCTGAAAAGGTGTCTTTTTATTTAGAACAACGCGGGGTGTACGACCCACTGAGCGGGGGGTAGCAAATCAACAGCTATGCATAAATTTGCATTAACCGTATAAACAGTTGAGTTAGGCTTTGGGTAATATGCGGCTCGTTAATATTAAGTAGAAAGGTGCATAGATAAACATGCCGAAATGCATTACCTGATAATGTTGTAGGCTTTTCGTATAATTGAAGAGTGTGACAGGTGTACTGTACTCTTTGTATAGTCTTTTATCTTTCTGCTGCCGTTAATATAATATAATAATATAATATATAATAATATAATATCATTGGATTCCATATGTTTATGAATAAGCGATTGCCTTTCATTTTATGCAATTTCAGCATTAATTTCCTCACAGTTATTCTCATTTTAAGAACCTTGGATATTAATATAAACTATTCCCCCAAATTTTAATTTTTCGAAAATTCATTACTTTATTAAGTTTCATATTTATAATAGTTTTAAAAGTTTTCATTACAAGTGCCTTGTACTTCACAACTGTCTTATGCAAAGATCTATAAAAAATCAGCAGTCTGTTGTGAGCACATGTTTCATTAATGTTTAAAGATCCATTCCAATCGATCCGTAGACACGTTTTCTAACACTATAAATTACCATATCAAATGAAGTTTATGTGTGTAAGCCATATCCATTCATTGCTTTGTAGCATTGTTTCTCACAGATCGCTTTGTACTACATGGTAAGACCTTTTGGCCATTGTTCAAGGCCCCCCAAAAAAAGAGCGCCATTTAAGCCGTTTGTTGTAGTTCCAATCGCTCTTGTTGTTGGTCTTTTCACAGCTCAACACAAAAGCGCACAACGCAAGACGCTGCAATGTCTCCAGCCGTGAGGACACGATTGACTGGAAATATGTTGCCCAAAGTTATCTTTTGAAAAGTTTCATTAGCGTTTTGAATGTGTACACCTGATTTTTTCGGATAGCCCATTACATGGGCACAATGGAACCCACAGGAGGTGCGCGCAACTATTTTGAATAATACCGAGTCAAAGTCGAGTCAAAGTCAGCTAATGCAGCCGAACAACAATGGGCCGGGTCAAGTAAAAAATGTTCGGTTCGAATTGTAAGACGGATGTGCGTGCATTTTAGGGTTCATTGCGTTCAGCACACCGCACAAGTTGTTCACATTCACATGACTCGGCAGATGAAGCGCACTCAGAAACAAAAAAACACAAAAAATGCAAGACAATTAAACAAATTAACAAAACACAACGGCTACATAAAATAAAAAAAAATGCCTGGCTTGCAGCAATTTTACACATGAGAAAATCGAAGAGCATCGAAAGCCATTAGCCATTAGCCATTAGAGCCCGCTAACCGGGCTCGTAACTGCGCGGGTGTAGCCCAACTGTCAGCTGTTTGTTACTAGAAACTTTCCGGTGCCAGTTAATTAAGTTTCGAATTTTACTTTCCAATGGGCCATAATGTTAAACTCCAGCCAACACGGCGAGAACCCTTTCGGGTCACATGTGCGCACTAGAAGCCAAACTCGTCTCCCAGACAAGTTGCAAGAGCCGCATCTAATTTCATGGCTGTTAGCGAAAGGGCCATGGCCAAAAGGTCGCGCAAGATGCACACAGCACGCATTTAATATGCACGTTAGTTGAATGAGAAAAGACCGAATTTTATTATTGACAACGCAAGGGACAACAACAAGTAGAATAATCAAAATGGTCAGAACAAGTAGTAATATCTGTCGACTAATGTACACCCACCTCTGAATGCTCTTTCAAACCAAGCAACACGAATTTCAACAGTAAAATAAAGATAAATGGGCGATAAACTGCTGATTGGAACGTTATGTATTTATTTATTTATTTATTTATTATACTGCTCTTACTAAATCTTGCTCGACACTAATTTTTTCAGTGATGTCTTCCTCCATCTAATATAAGCCAATAAAAAACTATTGCGCGCATATTTGAGTTTTTGGGTAAGTGCATATTAAAATACATATTTATATTAAAAAAGAATGTGCGTCAGACTTGGGCACATATACCAAAAAAGCTTAAGCTCTGATTGGAGATAACAAATAGAATAAGAAGCTCTTAGCATATATATATGTCGGAACAGAGAAATCACTTTCTTTGCAATTAGGCATACTGGCAGTACAGCAAGTCCCGAGTGTCGTTATAGTCACAAAATAATTATATTTTTTAGGAGCGAGCACGTCTGTTCTCTATGACTTCCACTTTTAGAATGAATAATTTTCATCGTCCTCGAGCATACTACTCATGCTCTTGTCATTCTATATTCTTCTCTGACTTTTAGTACTGTTAGTGAACATTCAACACTATAGCAAACTGGACGTTATACAACACACTCGGGCCATGCTCGGCAGAGACTATCTTTTTTGTCTCACACCATGCTTTCAGTAGCAACCCTAATACAAGTAGGACAGTTATGTTAAATAGCAGTACCTTCTGTCAAATTCTCTGATTCTTACTAACACTTAATCGTTAGCATTCAAAATAATATTCACAATAATTTATTGGATACACGACATATATATTTATTTATTGATTGTCTCTGTGAGCTAAAACAAAGCTAACCAAAGGTCGTCGGTACTCGCTACACTCTAAAGCATCCGCACATCTACTTACAGAGAACGCAGCCAAAGTTCAGGCAGCAAATAGCGTCAAAGAAGAGTCATAAAAACGTTTAATGATGTCACAAACGCAATAAAAATGCAATAAAATGTCAAAATTATTGAATTTACGATACGAAACAAGTTCAAAATAACAATAACAACAGAACGGCCAACAATGCGAACAGCAACAACAACATAAAAATGTCAGTCGGCTCGCAGACGCAGAGACAATTTCGGGAACACCTCTGCAACAGACTCCTCAACTCTTTCACCGCCTGGATGGGTTATAACATTATGTTCCATTGTTATTTTTATTCCTTGTTGCTGTTGCCATTGTTGTTGTTGTTGTTGCTGTGCGCTGTAGCGTTGCATGCAATGTGCGTGCTTTGGGGCAAGGTGTCGCACTGCGAACTGCTCTACCATAACCTTTGCTCATTTAAATAAATTTTAGCTTAGTTTATTTTTTTTTTTTTTTTGTTATTTATTTATTTTTTTGTTGGTTGTTTTTATTTTCGGGTTAACATGCGTACATCTTTGTGCACAGAGAGCACCGAACCGATTGATTGTTATCTAAAGTGAAATCAAATTGAGTTTCCATTGCTGACCCGTTGACAAAACCCGCCGCGCCGTGCCCCTCCTCCGGCCGGCAGCGCGGGCCACATGAAAGATGATTCGGGAAATGGTCGGGAAATGGTTCCAGAGCGTCTGCTGCGGGCTATGTGTGTGCTTGAATTTGGTATCATGGTGGGGTTAAGGATCAAAAAGTGTTTGAGTAATGGACTACATGCGTCGCCACATCGATAAGGCTGCCGGGAACCCTGGCAATTAACATATTTATGCCATAGACACGGTGTCTGCAAAGGCGTCCCAGCACAAGAACCAGACCTAAAAGCAAACCCTGCTACAACAGCAGACAGCTTGACTGGCTGGCCGACTGTGCCTTGATTTTGATTCCACATTTGGGAGCCACCATCATTGGGACAGTCGGATCCTTTTGGCATGCAGGTCGTCCCATCATCGCTAGCTGCTTTATATGCAGGCATGAGCGGGCATACTAATTAGCTCGAGGGCATCTCAAAGTATGCGCTGCAATGCTTTGATTTACTTACCGAATCAATAAAAGTGTTGCTCGTTTCGAGTTCCTTTCCTTCTCTCCCAGAGCTCCAAAAGGAAGCATTAAACTCGCATTGTTTATGTGGCCGATCAAGCCAAGGGACGTGTGGTTGAGTCTACACCTAAAAGTAGCATCTGCGCCATGGGAAGATTTCTACTCCAAAATTGAAATTTGAGTGCAAAGGCAGGTCTTTAACGAGCACACAATGTGCACTGCGTATCAGAGCAGGCTCACAGATGTTATTGGAATTATGTGAATATTGTCTTAGGCGAAAGAATAACAGCTGAGTTGCTGGCAAGATTGACAAGTTTTGAAATACAGTAATGATTTGATTTAGGAATGGAAACATAAGTCACCTTATGTTTAATCAATTTAATTAAATGTCACTATTTGAATAATGAAGTTATGCTCATATCTAAAATGAGAATCGGAAAAGCATTTAAACTGAATATTCTCTAGATTCTGATTTCTGAGTAATCGATTAATAAAAAAGAAGTTATTTAACTAACTAAAATAAATATTTTGCAAATAGTTATTCCAATGATATATGATATATTTCATTTATACTATTCAAATAATATATATCAATATAATTCAGCATTAAGTTAATTACATGCCCGAATTTAATCCTTGTACAGAAACTATTAACCAAAAGGTTAAATTGTATATATCTGTGATATTTATTTTTCAAATTTAGGTATCAGTATAATGCAGCATTTAGTTATTCCATTAATTAAATATTTGTATATAATCTCGGTACATAAACTACTAGCCAAAAGGTTTCAGGACATTCAGCAAAACAAATTGAACTACCTAAAATATTGCAAATAGCAAAGAATTTTTAATTATCAATGCTTTTTGTTTTTAATTGATTTTCATTTCATTTGGCAATAAACTTTTTGTGTAAGCCACAATGGAATTGTTGGATATTCGTATACGAGCCGACAGATGCACAGTCCGATTGGCCAGCTCATGCAGCGCCGCATGCCCCAATTGAAAATGTCAACCTATCAACAACAAATTAACTCAAAATTCAAACAAAAACAAAGAAAGCGAGCGGGTTAGCTGAGGCTGGTCAGTCTATAAGTAAGTTGCCGCCTGCTGATTGCTGATTGCTGTTGCTGATGTTGTGGCTGATGTTGCGGCCAAGACTGAAGCTGGCTCTCCGACTGTTGATGTATGCCACAGAGCCCGGAGAGCCCTGGCTAATATTTATGTACCACAAATGTCAACTGTCAATGTCAATTTATATTATGCTGCTGCCACATTGCGGATATGTCAGCAGCGAACATATGTATCTCAAAAACCGAGAGCCGACAACATTTTTTTTTTGGTTGTTGTTTGTTTTTTTTATTTTGCTGTTCATATTGTTTTTTTTTTTAAGCCCTAACCGGGACAGCTCGAGCCCAGCCTACGCAGCCCCCAATCTGGACAACAACATATTTATAATATTATTTTCGCACTCGGCTCGATATTGATGTGCATGTTTGTGTGGGTGTTCTTTCAGGCCAATCCAATCCGAATCCAGTCCCAATCCGAGCCCAGCTCATACCTATACCCGATCCCGTTGCCGTTTCCATTTAATTTGTGTGTTGTCAATGCTGTTGCTGGTATTTAATTTGCAGCACGTTAAACAAACAACAGTTAAAGAGCAACATGTCTCGAAAACTTATTTGGGGTCTCAGTTTCGGCATACGGGGTTGCAGGCCACTATCAAAGTTCCAGTTGTTCGTATAGTATAAAAAAAAAATAATAATAATAAAACAACAATAACAAGAAGGCGCACATTAATAATCTTGTTGAACCCGGCAATTTCGACCCTATAATCAACGAGTGAAACGCATATGCACATATAGAGAGACGTCGCGGACATGGACAGATCGGTCAACTGGCCGAATCGTGGCTCGTTTGGTTGGTTGGTCGGTCTGGCTGGCTGGCTGGCTGGCTGGCTGGCTGTCTGGCTAGCTGGTTGGCTGGTTGAGTTAGCCTGGTAAACGCCTCTGGGGCTCCGCCTGCTCATTCCATTGTTTGCTGCTTCATATATTTTTTTTCGTTTCGAAGACGTGGCTAATTTGAATCAACCGCCTCTCGCTCATTTTCGCTGTCCCAAAATGAAACTGAAATTCAGGCAAGCCCCGAGTCGCAGTTCCAACTGGCCGTCGCCGTTGCCGTCGCCATCGCCCTCGTCGTTGTCGTCCCCAGTCGGAGCAAATTAAACGCATGCGCAGCGGCCGCAGGCTAAGACGCATTCGCTGCCGCTCTCCAAAGACCTGGTGGCCATCGGAGCTCGGCGAACGCTACCGCTTCCGTGGCCGAGCGCCCCAAAACAAGCATGTTGATAATTGTTTCCTGGACGCGGTAACCCGAGCCCAAAGCCGAACCTAAACCTGAACCTGAGCTGGTGGCTGTTACTGCGATTGCCTTGGCTGCTGTGGCTGCAGCGTCTGCGCCGGCGTCTCAACACATAAATCCAACAGTAAACATATAAATTTAGCTATAGTTAAGTGCAGAGAGAAAAATTGATGATGGCGTCGGCATTTGATCATTCAATTATATTTGTAATATATCATTTATGACCTTCAGAGAAGACAGCTGAAATATTTTATGACATATGAATCCTAAACACTTTGAATAAACTTACAAATGCCTAGATTACTTCCCCTCACATTGCCTCAATGGGCTTCAACCATCATACTATTTCGCTCAGTGTAGCCATATCTTTATGGCGCTGTCATATGAGCTTGTGAGCTCTTGTCTACGTATTTTGGCTTGTTTAGAACGTAAATTATGCAATTATCATAATTGGTCAGCGAGGCATTTGGCCAATTATGATATATATTTATGAGCATTTCTAGCCATGCCCTTAGCCCTGTCACGCAATCTCTAATCACATACGCCCACAAAAAAAAAAAATGAAAACAGAAAAATAATATTCAAGAAAATGTAAATAAAGTTCTCCAGCGATTGACGGGCTGCACTTGTCGCAGCCTTAAGTATTATCATTGTGCAGGCATTGTTCCAATTACGCGGCTCTGCACGCACTTTGGCCCTATCCACTGCTCCATCAATATAATGCCGTATAATAGCTGGACTGCCCTTTTTTTAATATTATTTTTATACTCGTTGTTGCCCTTTTAAATGCCGATAACCTTTTATGCGCCCGCCGAATGACTATAAAAAAATACAAGAAATAGGAAGACTTGAGACTCGAAATGCATTAAATTGAATTTTTTTCGTTGGAAATTGTTGGCTGGCCAACGCGTTTTTTAACGCCATGAAAACTAATTTTATGTTTACAGACACTCACACACACACACACACCTACAATTCAATTACATGGCCCGAAAAGTGTGTTCAATAGACGCAACTGCATTTAAATGGTGGAGCCGACCAGCACCTCGCTTAGCAATGCATGACCAGTCCTCAATGTAATACCCCGCAATATCTTCTTGCAAATGTCTTGCACTTTTTGTGCATGCTAATTGGCATGGGGGAATTACGTTCACATATGTGCGTGTGTGTGTGGGTGTGTGTGTGTACGATAGCAGACTTAGGGCCAAGTTTTGCATAAACCGTTAGCAGCTGCCTTGGCTAGCAATTCTCACGATTCTACCTAGTAACTGGCAATTTAATATATGGCAGCTATAACTATCACATAACTAATCGTAAAACCTCTAAGCACGAACGTTTTATCGATTGCGCAAATGCATCTAAAAATGTTGGCAATACTCGTAATTAGTTTTGTTAAGGGCTTGTTCTGGACGCACCTATAGCGAATATTAAAAAGTTCCTTATTGGATTATTTCTTTATATTTTAATTCAATAAGCTCTTGCTGTGCACATCAAAAATCGTAAAATAAAAGCGTATAATAAGGTGGGACAAATATTTGAGGAAGGCATCTCAGTTTTATCTATGCATATCGAGTTTATTTTTATTGATAATTTCTTAAATTCTAATCGCCCTTTTTATGGGCTCAGGTGCCAGCCAGATTTTTATACTGCTTCGTAATATTATACTCCTTGGCCTTCTTCCTTATCTTAATTCCACCTTCTCGGTATACTCAACTATTTCTTTATAACTCTATCACTTACTAAAAGAACATTCGGCATTTAAAGCAATGAAAATCGCAGAGAAAGGCGATAGAGCGATGGAGAATAAGCAAGACGACGTGTTTTATTTTCTTTTGTGCAATGATTTTCATTTTAAATTTGACTGCAAGGAAATTAAATATTTAATATACCGCTTGTTGTAATTAATTTTATTTTATCTGACATAAAATGATGTATATAATTTGTTTATCGATTATTTGGTGCGCCTTTAATATACTTAAGATAACAAAACCTCATTTACGATGTTATAAACAGTGAGTTCCACAGTTTGAATGATGCCATCATTCAGAGAATGTGTCAATTGGCTTTGGTGACAAATGTTAGCTGAATACCGGCTTAGCCAATGATCAGCTTTGTGTTTATCATATTTATCTACTTATCTACTTGTCGCCTATGTAATCTGAATTTAGCTTAATCATTTTTAAGCCGTAAATCTCCGGTATTTCTGGCTCTTTCAAGGGCATGGACAGTTTTTGCACAATCCCTATCATTCGCTTCACAAGCTAGCTTAAGCTTAAAGCTTACTAGGCAGATCGCTTGATTTTACCAATCTGCCTCCAATTGGATCACAAACACATACACACACAAGCACAGGCTGTGCTTCCACATCCTCTGCAAGGCCAAACAAATCTGAGAATTCGCAAATGCGAACACAAGAATTATGAAATATGCAAAGCAATAAACAATTTAAAATCAAATAAAAAGACAACTTCATATTGGGCAATGGCAAGAGGCATTCAGCATCGATTCTTGCCTGAGCCCTGCTCCAAAAATATGTATTTATATATGTATATTGATATATATGTATGTATTTATATGTACCAATATTTTATGCTTTAAGCGTTTATTTGCTTAGAGCGACCCCCAAAGCAAGCAGACGACGGATCAGCCGCATGCGACTGGTGACTGGTAACCAGGCTGGGAGCACCAGAGCACATGGAGCATACACATGGCACTGGCAACTGGCACTGGGTATCCGTTTTCTCGGCAGGCTGTCTGCCTACTGTTGGCGGACAAAAATGTTGCGGCTGCCGGTTGCCGCCGATTCGCCGTTGTTGTAGTTGCTGCAGTTGTTGTTGTTGTTGTCTAAATTTATGATTATTGCCCTGCCAAGCATCTTACGAGCAGCGGACTCAATTCGCCTTAGCCCAAATGGCGCTGCTGCTGCTGGTGCTGCTGCTGCTGCTGGTGCTGGTGCTGGTACCGAGTGGGGGAGGGAAAGCCAAGTGATTCTGCAGTTATAAAAATTGGATTTTGCGCGCAACTTAATCACATTTTCGCCTTCAACTGGCGACTCAAGAGTCGAGTCGAGTCGACTCGACTTGACTTGACTCTGGCGACGCTCCGCAACACTCCGCTCAGCTATTTTATTGCCGTCGACTCTTTGTGACTTTTTTTTGTATTCTTTACTTTGGTTCGGTGTGTGGTGGCTCTGCGCCTGGCGAAAATTTACGATTATATCGAAATCTGATGGTTTATACGCGACCACGGCCAAAAAATACAAAAAACACAGAAAAAAAACTACTTTGTATGGAGCTGGCACGGAGGAGACAGCACCGTCAGAGTCTGTGAAGATTTACGGAAAAAAATTAATTTACGATTCTAGGGAAAATCAAATTACGTAGTCGTCGTCGAGTTGGAATCGGTTCTCGACTTCGTTTTCGCTTTATGGCAACATTTGCCACCAACAAAGTTTTATTCAAATTACGATTTAGTAATTAATTTCAAAATAGGCCGTTTGCTAATCCGTGTGACTCTAACTGGACTGCGATAATAACAATATGGGGCCAGAAACATGGAGTGGCTCAGTGGCAGCGGCACGAGCAGGGGGACCCTGTGGCAAGCAGCTATGACTGTGTCTGCGTTTGCAGCTGATTAAGGCACTCGATGATAAAAACCCGTTTGAAATGCGCTGTTTACTTTTAATGTTATGGCACTGCCAGCGATGATTAACCAATAATGATAATGGATGAGCGGGAACGGGAATGGGAATGGGAATGGGCACGAGTATGGGTACGGGAACGGGAACGGGGTGTCTTACAGAGACTAACTGCCACTGACACTGACTGACAGCTCAGCCTAACGAGTTGGGGAATTCTTTATGTATGCAATTGCATCAAGTCTTCTTTATTTTTGTTTTATGGTCTTTGAGAAGTTGGGAAAGTGGAAAATGCGGTCACACGACTGCAATTCTAATTAAAATTGAGCAACGTTTCGTACTGGCAATAAAATGAAAATGAATAACTATTCAAATAGTTAAAGTCGATTTACATTTGGTGTTGGACATTGTGAGAATTACATAAACAAAAATCCTCATAAAAGTGTTTCACTACATAATCAAACTAACGTTAGATGTCTAAAAATGCTCGTGAAGAAAGTTCGTATATTAATGTTTCGCATGAGTCAGATCACTTTGATAAATGCCAGCTATACTGAGAAGCGCAGAGATGTTATGGGAGAAAGAGCAAAAAATCGATAGAGTTATAAACTGCTTTTATCATTAAAAACTCTAAAACAGCTTTTACCATGCAAAACCTTACCAAAGAGCCAAAACATTGTGTACCTCTTAGTTTTAAGAAGAGCTTAGAGAAGAGCACAGCTTTAATGCAATTAGTTCAATGGCATTCAGCTGCTTACATATTGCATCTACTGGCCTTGCTCCAACTGTGAGTACTCAAAATATTTACCTTGTGGGCCTTACTGTCAGCTCATCCTGCGTTTTTTTTTTTGCTGTGCCTAACGCAAGAGGCGTATGCTCCAAATTGGTTAAATGTGAGGCGCTGCCAGCTTATCGAAGGTGTTGTGTACACGTGTGTGTGCATTGTGTGTTCGTCTGGGCCGGGACCCACCTCAGACACAGCCATTTGCCAAAACCACTTGGAATTTGTTCGGCGTTGCGAAGTCATCGGCAAGAGCTGCAGAGATTGTATCGATGGCAAGGCAAACGACTGTCAGCCAGAGGTTCAAATACTAACACTTAATGAACTTAACTTGGCAACAACATCAAATTTCCATAAGAAAGGCAATAGGAAAAGCCAGCTAGCTGTAGTTGCTGTTGCTGCCGCTGCTGCTGCTGCTGCTGCTGCGTGTTGTAAGTACGAGTATCTATTAGATACGCTGCGTTGCAACAAACTGCAATATGCAAGGCTCGTACGATTTAGTGTCTACCTGCCCCACACACTTGTTGTTGCAGTTGTGTTCTGCTTGTGGATGCTGCCTGCACAGAGGCATCAAGATACAGGCCCAACAACATTGGTAGCAAGTAGCTGCCGGGTTTTTGAGTCTAAGGCTACGGCTGCGGCAGCGGCATCGGGTTCGGGCTCGATCTCGGTCTTGGTCTCGGTCTCGGGTTCGGGTTCGGTCTCTGTTCTGTACTGTGAGCGACTTTGGCAATCAGCAATTAGCAGATATGTTAACTTCATGTTAACGAACCAATTTGAAATTTAAATGCGGCACAAACTCGGGTGCTCATACGTCGTTGTTGTCATCACTTCTTCAACCGGGGGCCTTCCTTTCAATGTGTCTCTCTCTCTGTGTGTGTGTGTGAGTGCGCCTGTATGTGCGACAGCCTGAAAAACCCGCCACCGAAGCTGGGGCCACTGCCAGGTTCTTTTGCTGCCTCCTCTTGTCCAGCTCTGGCAAACTGCACACACATTTTTTAGTTTAGCAAAATTTTAATACAAAAACCAAATCGAAGCCGCTGCTTGAAGCGATCCCAGACGATACATATGCATAAAGCAGAAACAACAGAGCTGGAAAAATGAAAAAAAAAATGGGAAAAATAAAAAGCAACCTTGTCATCATACCCGAGTACGAGTACGAGTACAAATGAAAAGAGTTCGTTAAAAGCTTCTTCATGTTTCTTGCTGCTGTGTGTGTATGAGTGTGTGTGTGTGTGTAGCTGCAAATTCTTTTGGGCCCAACGAACGTACGTATGTCGAAGAATCATTCTACCTTCTGTGCTTTTATAAATCACAGGTACGACGACCGGCTCTGGAATTCAACGACTGACGACTGCGGCAACAGACAGGAAGGAATATAACGACGACGACAACTTAAGCGCGAAAAAAAATAGTCAATAGCGGCAACGAAGAGTGCACCGAGTGGCACCTGGAAGGGTGGGGGTAGGTTGGCAGGGAGGGAGGGAAGTGGCGACTCCTAGCCATGCAAAAGATAACAATGCAAGTGCCTGCCACGGCCTCGTGGCCAAAGCCATGGACATGTAATTGTTGCAACTTGAAGCCAGCGCAAAATTTAAAGCGCAATTTCAGACCGTATGACAAACAATAAATCAGCTGAAACCATCGACTATATCCACTGGTAGCTCCAGCAGCTGCCATGTGTGAAGGAAGTGGTAAATAGTTAAATAAGCCGAGCTGCATCATCATTTGACAACAATTCTAAGCCGGGCGATACCCTGTACAAAACTTCTGCAATATTAAACAATTGACTGCGAAACCAAAACTAAACTATCGTTAAATGGGCAACGGTTCGAACCAGGGCCTTGACTTTAATTTAAATTTGTATCTTGGTTCTATCTTGGTTCAAACCCGTCTCTCAGCTGTAAACGGTTATACCCATGTTCTACAAAAACCTTGTTCCTCCTTTAATATTCAAATGCCTTTAACCCATTACCCCTTTGAGCTTGATTATATGTTCTAGCGTTAACTTTAAAGGCTTACTGCATATATCCTGCTGCTTTCACAACTTTATCATTTAACCCGACAACCTTCGCAAGTACAGGGTATAGAAACGAATTCAATGAAATTATCATACACATGGTAGCTATAGTTGCACGTTCTCAGCTCTCATGTGTATCTGTCGGATTAACTAATGCGATTTGCGGTGCTCATAAAAAGTGTAACGACTTCGGAGACTCTAGAGAGCAACCTTCGCGTACCGCAAATGAAGTTTTGCTTTAAGTTTGTGTTGGTATGAGATTTTCTTCCTCTTTTTTTTACACCCAAGCAGACTTGACCATGGGGGGCATAGGCATAAATGTGTTTACAGGTAGCCCCGAACAGTTGATCGTTGATATTGCCGGGAATAATAGCCAAAGCGATGGCAATGATTTTGCTGACTCAAATTTAAACGCATTTTGAGTGCTGTTTCTATGGATTGCCCAAGAATAAACACTAAATTCCACATACCACACATACCGGAGAACGCAGGGCGAACGTTTATGATATCATAAAAACATAATCGCCTAATGAGTTTTCAAATAAAGTTTTTGACAAATAAAATTTATATATATAAACGGAATCAAAACAGAAAGAATCTCTGTTTACCAACTCAATTATACATGAAGAAACGCTTAAAAGAAATAAAAAATATACGAAAACTAAACTGGTACCGGAGCACTTTCATAAGCACTTGCTGAAAAGTTTTGTGTTTTTCCTGAAACACTCCCCAAATGAACGCAATTTTGAGCTGTTGCTCCCAGGCGAAAATGCATTCATCATCATTGACACACACACGTACACACACACACACACGACCACACAGGCACATATGTACATACGCGCACAAGAGCTGAAATCAAATTGCAATTCAGGCAGTTATTCACAGATTGAGGACGCACTAAATGAACGATAAATGTCAGTAAAACTAGCAAAATTTATATTATTGTATTGGCAAAATTTTTAATTGCTTGACAACATCACAACACACACAAAAACATATTCTGTCTGTTTGTGTCCGATTGGCTATGCAAGCAGCAGATAAGGGATGAACGCGTGTCGTGACACGAAAAACTTAATACGAATACGAATATATATTATATGAGTATGGGTCTATCAATCAAACTTTTTATATAGCTCACAGAGATAACTATCTATATCCCATTTTCGAATTATTATATTTAACAAGTTTTGTTGAAAATATGAAACACGCGCTCAGCTCTAGCTTGGAGTCTCTGTGTTTGTTTTGAAAACCACTCAAAATATAATTCAGTTTGCCACTGGCCAAAAATTGGTCCTCGTTGGTTTTGGCGTTTGGCTCTGATTTTATTTTAAGTTTTTCGATATACAGAGGTGGCATAACAAATAAAAATAGTTAGTTCTTGGCATGTTTTTGGGGTGTTTGTGTGGCCCACGCAAGTCGCAAACGTTTTGTATTCACGAGTTTGCACAATTTTTGCATTCAATACAAAATTCTTTCGGTCCGTTGTGTTGTATTGTTACGTTTGATGAAATCACGTACCAACAACTATATACATATATATATATGTGTGTGTGTGTGTGGTGTGGTGCACACACATCTTATAGGCACACACATGTGTGTAAAGGTAGTTGAGCTTGTGCATAGTTGGGTAGGTGCAACATGCTCGTAAAACAAGCCAGCTGAATGTCTGGTCTCTGGCCGTTGTAGTGCCAACTGCTGCCAAGCTGCAAGCTAACGTGTCAATTGCCACAGTGAGTGGGCCAGGCAGCCAGGGTGCAGGGTGGTGCAGGGTGGTGCAGGGTGGTGGAGGCGGCGGTGGCACAGCTCGGACGTCGGCTGTGCAACTATCAAATCAAATTGGTGGCACAGGATAATGTTTTGAGCTGCGGTTGAAGTTTTTCCCTTGTTGTTTGCATTTTGTTGGCCGTTGTTCGAACAATTTTTCTTGTTTTTGTACTTTTCTGGTTTCTGTTGGTTTTTAGTGCTTTCTGTTTTGTTTGGTTTGATTTGGTTTGGTTTTGTTGTGTGCTGCATACTGTATGCTGTGTGTTGTCTGTTGTTGCAAGTTGTCATTTTTCGTATTTGGTAATTGGTTGCTGCTTTGTCACACCAACAACAACAGCAACAACAACAACTAAAACGGCCACATGCAAAATGGCATGCCCAGCACATGGGAGATCGAACCAGCCGGCACTATTTGCTGCCCCCGCTGCCCCTCACAGCGCCAACACTTCTGTACCCTGTTGCTATTGTTGCTCAACTACGTGCTCTTTCATTTGTTTTTATTATTATTAAACAACTCTGGCTGCCCTGGCGTTATTTGTTGCTGGACATGGCCAACTCCGCTCCAGCAATGTGCACGTGTCATAAAAGTTTACAGACACGGGAACAGAGCGCGAGCCATGGCACGAGTTGTTACCGTTACCATTGGCCGGCACAGGTCGCTGGGTCAGTAGCATGTGTGTGCCTTTTTGTGTGTGTGCGTGTGTGCGTGTGTGTGGTGTGTGTGGGTGGGTGAGTTAGGTGGGGCCAACACACACGTGTGATAAGTCGTGGCCCAATATGTCGCGCTTTTTACGACCGCACGAATCACTGAGTTCTGATCTAAATTAAGTTGATTCAATCAAGATTTGCCTGTAGCTGCCCGCCAATGGATTTGTTTAATGCCCTCACAGCAGCAATAACAACTCAATATGAAACGTGGCCCGATTGCGAGGGCTTATGTCCAATTGTGTAATGCTTGTAAGCAGTTAACTCGGAGCTTTACTTTGCTCATTCAAAGCTAGACAATGCTTAACTCGCTTCAAGCCCGCTTCTATGCCGCAAGAAGTCACACAAAAGTCCGCACTGATTGACTATTGCTCTACAGGTACACGGTACCTCTAAAAATAGCAAATAAAATAGATTTATAGTAGCTTAAGCTGCTTTGATTTGATTAAAGATTGCCGCTTAGATGGTTGAAAAAAAAAATAATAATATAAATTATTGTGTCTGCGTGTATCAGAATCTGCTGACCACAATTCCAATAGACAGCCAAGTCATTTCAACATTTAATTAAAGGTTTTAATATAATTAGTTAATTTCATTAATTAATTAATATATATGCTACATTAAAGATCAATAAACAAAATTGTTTTACGTTAAAGAAGTTTAAGCATATTTGAGACATTTGCACATTTATTAGATAAATTCGCATAGATTTACTTTTAAAATCATATTTAAATATGTAGGAAATAGATTATTGTTAAAACTGCTTAAACATTTTTATAATGAAGTCACACGCAATTATTCATCTGGCCCTGATTAAATCGACAAAAATAGTTTTGCTTCATTGTGACATCTGATACACATTCTGTGTGCACCTTTATCTGTTTCAAACAATAAATCGGCTGAAAATACAGAAATATCTTGACGAAACAGCTTTTACGCACAGCTGACATTCTATGCAGCAGATATCACAAATACTTTGACATATAATACGTATGTTTTTTGTGTTGCTTGTTATGATAGAAATTCATTATTTTCGCATTGCTTTAATTAAGCCAACTGCTAATGTATTATTTACCTTTTCAACCAGCTTAAATACCTAACAGCAAACTGTTTGCAAAACCGAAATCCGTGTCCGGCTAGAACCTGACTTATCTCGTATCCATGCCGGGCCAAAGAGTTTTCAGCTGCAGAATAGAAAAATAGAAAAACATTTGAAAGTCCGCACAAAATTATGCTGTCCAATGCATGGTCATAAATTTTTATGTTGTGCACAACACGGAGATGCGCAACTTAGCCAATCTTTGGGTTGGGGAAAAAGCATAGAACATACCCGTTAGACTGAGCTGGAGTTGGAGTTGGAGACGGAGAGACGCAGTACATAAAACAGACGCAATTTCGAGATTTTATTTCTGTAAAATCTGACAGTAATTTCATTTAAATGACAACGCCACACGCCCACCCCAGCCGCAATATTCCGGCTTCTCCTCCACATACAGCTAACTAACAAGCCGGGTATATCGCGTGCCTGGCGGTGTTAGGGGGTCAGGGGGTGGTACGCAAGACGTGAGAGGGTAACGTGGCCAACAAAACGT